ACTCTATAATAAAATATAATACGATAACCTTTGTGATAAAATGATTTATTATTATTTATAACAATCATAGACGTTCATAAATATTCTTTAGTTAATAATTAATGCATTAATATTTTAATTATATTTTTTATTTTTTAACTTAACATATTAATATATATTATCATATTATTAAATTTTTTAACTTAAACATATTAATATACATATTATCATATTATTAAAATGAATTATGGACTGATCGTTTTATTTTTATTAATGAAAACAATTATTTAATTATTTTTTCAAGTCTAATCAAATAACCATGAGAGTCGTTTTCTCTTCATATACCTCAAATTTAAGAATAGTTTAATGTAAAACCTTGAAGAAAATTCATTAAAACCTTCCAAGCTAACTTACAAAACTGAAAAAAACACATGGAAAATGAAAATAACAATTACTGCATGATGAAAGCAACTTTGTCTAGGATCTTGTGTTCGAGGCTTCCCCGGAAAAGTTGCTGAGCGTTGTTGTCAGCATACTTCTTGCAACAATTCGTTTGGGTACGAACTTTCGAGCCCATACATGCTTTCCATTGATGGTGAATTTGGCTTTGATTGCTCCTCTGAGAATCATGTCAATGGTGGAAGCAATGCGAAAAACAATGCGAGCAAACAGTGCTTGTTCATTTGATTGCACTTCCTGCATATACAGTGCCTCAATACAATCTCCATAAGCTATGGTAAAGAACTCTCTGACTTCCCACTCCTCCACGCGATACCCCTTCGAGAACGTCACAAACAATGTTCTATCATCAGCTGGAACTTCAACCTTTGAATTCGATGGTCCAATTGAGCCAAACCACAAAGGGTTCTGGTTCTGATTCTCTGAACTGGGTTTCATCACCACCTTTTGAGCTTCCACAACTCTATCATTGGAGTTTCTTATAATCGCTTGCTGCATAATGTCAGTGAAAGCCCTCACACACACATCTTGCATCTCTTTTGCCACACCTTGGAGTGCGCTAACGCGGTTTTCATACAAGAACTGAAGTGAGATTTCCTTGTCCACTAGACTCTGCAGAAGGGGAATCTCACTGTTCTCGAAAGAGGAAGGAGGTGCTATGAAACTACTGTTGTTAATGCAGTTCAGACACACTACCGTTTCGTCTGCAACTTCGTTGATCAAGATGTTGGGTAAGGCCAATACCCTCTTCACCACGTTGCGAAACCCCACCCTCTCCAGCCACAGCCACAAGGCATGGACTTGCATGCATTCGCCTGGTTCACGGAAGAGAATCATCACAAGGATCTTGTACAGTTGTCTATCTATTCTGTGGAACAGATTGAACTCGTCTTGGGTGACGAAGAAAGAAGAACACTCCAAATCCATAAAAAAACAAATACTATGATGTTCCTGAGTAAATCAATTGTTTGTTTGTCTCAGTTCTTAGCACTAAGTTGGCCAACCCAATATAAATACTGTGAATGTAAATCAAACCCCTTGAAATGAAACGGTACAACCACTGGACCCAAAGCACGTGTCGACATGCATGTTTAGTGGGGGAGTTTGAGAGTTATGACACTAAAACTCATTTCTATTTACTGTCATCAGTTTCAAGAAGAGCAAATAGGCCAACTCAGATTCTCTACAATGGATAGAGAAGAATGTGATGAGATATGATAGAACATAGAAACATGAACCAGAAACTGATGGTATTAATATAGAGCTTACAGGGTCACAGTAAGATAATCTTTTTAGTGTTAAACAATGAATTAAACTGTTAATGCCAGTGCATGCTCAGGAAACAATCAGTTACAAAATTTCTTCCATATCAGTTTCAAGGTTAAGTTACAAAGCAGATTATTACATTAGTTTATTAGATCAATGCATTATATCACGGTTTTTTTAGTCTGCAAGTCCTAAGACTTTAGCTGTTCATTCCCATGTAGCAAATCCTACAACATATTTCTTTAACTTTTTTTAATTTTAAAATTGATAAAGATAGTATTATTAATTGCAGAAAAAGCTATTAAGGAAACTATGGTAGAAATGAAATTATTTTAAAAAATACTCGCTTTTACAGCTAGAATGACTGTTCTATTCTCTGTATCTAAACACAAGACGTGTATAACCGATCCACTCTTATTATTTGGTAATATTCAATTTATAACATTTTTTCAAAAGTAATATTAGATAATAATTAATTAATTAGTTAATGACAAAGAGTTAATTACATTAATGAATTTTGAACTTTTTAAACATAAACTCCTTAATTTTTTTAATCTTCAAAAGAGAGAGAAAGAAAGAAACTATATAAACATTTATTACTCAAAGACTAAGTTAAAGGTATATTTGTAAAAGACTATTAACATAAGTAACAATCAGGAAACATGGTCTTGGTAAAGAAAGATAATAAATACAAATCAAATTCTTATAAACAGAAAAAAAGATTAACATTAACATTATGAGAAAGTATAAGTTGAAAGCCTTGTGCTTTTTTACAAATTTGATGTACTTCTAAGTGAAATTCGTGGTAACATCTACAAATTGTAATAGGACAATGACAGAACAAATCATCCCCTAAATATATAGAGATATTACATGAATTTAGTTATGAAACAATGAAAAATTCGATTTAAAAATACAAAATAAACTATAGATATTATAATTCAAGCATAAAATTATCTATAATTTTAGTGTTAAATTAATCTAAAAATTATATTTTAATGATAAAATTAATGATTTTAAGAAACTTAACAATATAATATAATTGCTGAACATTTTACATATATAAGGTTTTAGTTTATATATAATTTATTCAGTAATAAAATAATTCTATATTAGATTTACATTTTATATATTTTTTCCATATTCTTCCTCCATACCAAATGAAATGACATTAGAAATTGACTGATTATGTTTGTCCTAAACATTGGACACAGTTGCAATTGGAAGCCTCATAAAAAAAATAAAATAAATAAACATTGAAAAACACAACTTCAAAACCTTGTTATGATTTAACAATACATCCATGATAAGGTGGTTTTCTGATTTAATACCACGTTCTCTGTTTATTTTGATACAAATTAAAATACAGTCAATGTCTACTAATAATTACTATTTCTTTGTTAGGTAACATCAGACAAGGCAAGAAATATTAAAATTTTTGTAAGACACCAAAAAATATATTTCTTCCTTAATGTGTAAACAGAGAAAGAAAAGTTGCATTGTTCTGATATCTGTAATTCTTGAAATAAGGGGGTGAATGTATTGAACTTAGAATAGAAATTATTGAAAGGTCGTATTGTTTAATATCTGTAATTCTTGAAATAAGGGATGAATGTATTGAACTTAAAGTAGAAATTATTGAATATTACTTCAGTTTGTCAAAAATGATGATTGACCAAAATTTACTTAATTTCCTGTTGAACTTTAAAAATGTACATGAATAAAAAAAAGTAATTATGTGTATTTGCCTAATCAATTAATTGATCACATATATCACTTATTATATAACAAAACTTCTAATTATTACTTGTTGACTATATAACTCTTGCCTGATATAATCAACGGAGATAAACTATCCTTTTTTTTATATAGTCGTTAGAATTTCTTTTTATGCCTAAATGAGTGAATTAATTTACAAGTGATAATTAATATGTTTAAATATTTAATGTATTTAATTATGTGTTTAAGGTATGGTTTGATGTGAGAAAAGTAATTAGGGGAGGGTGTGTTTGAAAATAAAAAATACGGGTTGTTGTATTGGACTTTATCAAGAAAGAAGATAAGATGTGAAGTTACTTTTAATTTTGTTATACTTTCAAAATTCACTATAATAAGTTAGAATATTCATCTATCTCAAAAGAGGACACTTTAGCACTCCATTCCTTTTGTTTTCTTCTTCAAACTGTTCTTTTCCTTCTACATAAAAGATAACTCTAAATTTTCCTTTCTCATTCCTTTGTGAAATCAAACCATAAAGTTAGTCAAGAACCTTTGTAAAGCATCAAATAGTGGAGTTTATGATTTTGGATTAGTTTTCTCATTTATCTTTTCTCCTTTTAACCCATGCATGCATATGTATGGACCGTTAAGAGAAATGGAATTTTGGTGACTTCTAACTTATTTTTGTATGATTAAGGGTTAGGGTTTAGACTCCGAAGTGGTTTAGAGAACTGGTTACAACGTTTTACTTCATTATCTTCTTAAACTTTTATATATACCTTAGAGTATAATGAACATAAACTAAAGAAATATAGTTAATTTTCAATTTTACTTTGTGTTATTATGCAAATATTTTAAATTTTTCGAACCTGTATCTAGAATGAAAGTATAAGACTATTGATTTAATTCAGTAGTATTCTTGAACTGTAGCTGATGCAATAAGTTGAAATTTTTTTTAAGAAAAAGTAGCCTGTTAATGCTTTAACCTATTGGAAATCTATACGAATGAATAAACAATTTACATGTATAAAATAGATGTAAATATTATTTTATAAGTTGATTTATTAAAATCGAATTTAAGTTTAAAGTATTTTTTTAACATAATATAATAAAATCATTTAGAGTTGAATCTAACTAGATTTATTATTTAATGGACTTATTATGTATTTTTTATTGAACCATCCATAAATATTTAGTATCACAATTATTGATATGTATATTGTAGGAGGGAGTGTTGAAGATCTCCTCTATAAATTTGTAACATAAACTTTATTTTAAAGTCCTGTTATAGAATTGAGTTAAAATAAAAGTACATTTTTATTTTCATAAGCATTAGAAATCTTTGAATCCAGAAATTTCATAGTAAACAATGTGCGAGGAAAATATAAAAATGCATCTACATACATGAGTTAAGAATTAAGTATACCTCTGTCATTAATAATCAACTTAAAAATGCTTATATCTTGGAAATCCTTTTTCGTTTTCTTGTCTCTCAGTTGCAAACAACTCCAATTATGAAATCTTGAGATTATCTCAAATAACTCGTTAAGCACGTTATCTAGGAAATTGTGATGATGAGGAGTGAATAACCAAAAGCTGAGATATAATATACAACACTCTAGTCAGTTGGGTATACATACGACGACATTGATGAGGAGTTGACAAAGTAATGTGGCATTACAAACAAACTCGAATGTGAACCAGCTACCAACTAAAAGGTTACATTTTAGTGTCAAAAATTTAGTTTCCACTACAAATAGCCAAACCAGATATATCATGAGCCTCAGCAATAGCATTTAGATCAGACCAAGAATATGACCTCCAAGGAACACTTCGTGTGGCAGAAGAAGGTTGAGGCAGTGATGACCTATTGTTGGCACGTGGATGAAGAGGAGGAAGAGGGAATGGAGGAGATATGGATGAGGAGCTGCTACCCTCTTCACTACTGTGCAGATTCAGAAGGGATGCTCCTCGACCAATGTTTGATGGTCGCTTTGATATTCCACCAATGTTACTTGCACAACTGCGACTCCTCTCAATCGATGCATTGCGAGCTATTAGATTCTTGCGTTTCTTCGCATAAGGGTCCTCTGGCTTCACTATCTCTTCCATAGAACTTGCAGCTGCAGCATCTGCTAAGCTTGTGAATGACTTCGATTTCCCACTATAAAACTTGGATATGCCTTTCCTGAATTACACAAAAACAGAATCACACAGGTTAATAAAAAGGTCTTTCTACGTCTGCAATTTTTTTAATTTTGCATCACTAGTTCTCAGTGATTTGGTTAATCTTCAACTACTGAATCAATAATATTCATCTCTTTGACACAAAAGATAATAACAGTCATAATAGGAGCATGTGTAGTGTCGTTCATAGTAGCTAATAAAACCAAGGTAGCACTTCCGAATTAAGGTTGTTCACTTTGCACAGGAAAGTTTATTTTATGTCAAAAAATAATTTCCATTTTCAGCTAAAGAACTTCTAACACCTAGAACTCATCGCTTACTTCAAGCGGTTACAAGACGTCTTATAAGGGTGGCAATTCAATTCTCCAACAACGCCTTCTCTATACACACCTTCTAGTACACTTTCTACTATTGACTAGGTTTATAGAAATTACAAATCATGAGAGTCTAGATGCATTTATTCGAAAGATGGTACTAGACGGAAGAAAAAAATGTTCATAAGCATACACTCTCTAGGCTTCTTCTTAAGTGTTGTTTAAAGTTCTCAAGTGCTATTTAAGGTTCTACAGGGAATCCAAGAAATATAATAAATTACCTTGATTTTTTAATAAACGTTTTCCAATTTACCCTTGTTCATTAAAGAGTGAATAATGTTGTTTTCAATTTTGAGAATCTCTTAAACTTTGAAAATGACAACTTAAAATAGAAACATTTTTTTTTCCAAGTTCGAGGATAAAAAAAGAAACAGGGATGGAGTATTGCAGAAGAATGAAATATCGTTGGACAAGGGAAACTTTCCATGAATCTATTTAGAAATCTTAGTTAATTTACGGGAGAAGTTGTTATTTAGAGTAAACAAAATAATAGGCACTATATGACTTTAAATAGGGGTCTAGCGTTGTGAATGTGATAAATAGTTTAGGTGTTGCTTGGAAAACTCTTAATATGAGCACCGAGAAGAAAATACAAAGAGATAAAACAAATTGAATTTTATAGCATAAGTACATTTTAACTATTTATTTTCTTCGTCTAAAAGTACAAGGGGAAAAATTCATTCATGCATTAATTTTTTTTTTTTTAATGACCTCTAAATGCCATTAGTGGTCAATTTTTATCCAACAATTGTTTTTAAATCAAAAATTCATGCAAGTCAATCTACTTGCCATCACTTAGAAGCCAATATATCATGCTGTAAATTTCATGATCTATTCTGCATATTAAGACATCAATGTTGTTTGATTTGTTTTCGTAAGGAACAAGCTCACCCTTCACTCTGTAATTGTGTAATACTAAACACGGACTTGGTCTTTTTTTTCCTAACCCAGGGACATCATAGAAAGATGCCCTGTCTCCACTCACCAATCTTTTAGGTTTTGGTGGTGGAGATCCATTATGCCTATCAATTTCAACAATCCTTTAAGTAAACGTCTGGAACCAGATATATTCTGTAACCCACTTACCCCAACCACAAAAGCAGATCACTGAATTAATTAATGGATTATCTAATTAAAAGAAAATAGTATACAACTATATGGAATTTTTCTAAAGATGCACTTTCCATAGTGCTTAAGTCACTCAAGATAAATAAGCACACCGAATCATCATCACTCAACACCAACACTGGTAACAAACCAAACCCCCAAGGTCAAAACAGTAAATTTCTAAATCTCCTAAAAACAAAAATAAAAACAATCTTCCTCTGCTCTTTACTCTTAACATAAACTGAGTAACAGAACAAAACAGAATCCCAAGACCCCAAATCAACATGCTCTATTACCCACATGAAAATATTGAAGCTTTATGAACACCCAGTTCGGAAAAACACATAAAAAGACTTACTTGACTGGTAAATCTTCCTCTAGATCGTTCATGGTATCCAAAGGGCCTTTGAAGGAGCTCTGAACCTCAAGGGCATCTTCGTGGTCAGAGGAATCTTCCGACGAGACGCTGTTCCTTCCGATGGAGGAGTCGGAGCTGGAATCAGAATCCTCAGCTGGAAAATCCTGATCGCAGATCGCGACGCAGTGGGCTAAGGAGGACAGTCCGATGCTAACTCCTCCGTTATTTTGCAGAGCAAACGTCATCTTTTTGGCAGAAACTTGAGAAGAATGGTTGGGTGTGAAATGAAATGAAAGCAGAGAGAAGCGTGCGATGAATTGTGGGGTATAAATATATAAATGGCTGGTGTGAGCACATGGGTATCAGATTTTTTTTCCAGTCCGATCGCACATAAAAGAGAACAGTGATTGATAAATCATTTTTTTAACCTAAAGTTTTCAATTTAATTTATAGAATTATAAATAAGTATAACATAGGACGGTGACATTTTATCCTCATTGGGTTGAATATAATAACGTTCCCTACAAAACAAGTCTCTTCAGACCACGTCTTTAAATATAAAATTACAAAAATATTATTTATATTTGGATTTAAATTTAATAAAATATATTAAATAATCCTTAACCGGTATGACTTAATTTTTCTCCTCAACTTTTTACAGCAGAAAAGATAGAAGATTATCTCTTTGAAAAATAATAACCTTTATACATTATTCTCTTTGTGGTTTGTTTTTAATTGGATGTTTCTGTTGAGGACAGAGAAATGGTTGACTGTGAACCGTCTGATTAGGTCTAATTAGGCAATGGATATAATCTTGGAATGGATCAGGTGGATCCCACATTTCTCACCCACCATTTTGTGTTTATTCCTTTCTTTCTGCTTTACCTTTTGTTTAATATTTAATTAATAACGAGTAATTATAGAATATATTCTCTTAAGCCATTTGCCCCTTTCTCACTGATTATAATTATTGGCTTTCCCACAAAACAAACAAATTTTAACTTGTTTAAATGTTAATAAATCAAGGATATCCGTCAACTCATCCAACTTTATTCCATCATTTATTTTATATATTCAAATGAAAGTTCTATTTCTATTAACCCTAAGGATCCTGTAACTAACATTCTTACAACCAATTACACAATGGGTTAGCCCACAATACAAAAGAGCTTACAAAAATATATTCTAGTTTTTCTTTTCTTTTGGATTCAAAAAGACATTTATTTTTGTGGTCCTGAATAATAGTGGGATTTTTTTGTCATTATTTGTTAAATTGATAATAAATAATACATTAAGTTTATTTTGATTATAATGTGAAAACATCAACAACGAGGAGGGTGGCACGTTGCTGACAGAGAGTGGCCGGCGGGAACTTGTCCCTAGACTAGAGACACAAAGATTATGCCACGTATATATCAGAAACAGGGATTTTGCCACGTGTCTCAGAAATTCAATCTAGATAAGGCCTGCAACTACTTCATTCTACTATACTATTGTGACATCCACTCTTCTTTGTTCATCCTTCTTTTATGGCGGCACAATTGGCGTTTTTTCATATTTCACCATTCTTTTCTTTTTCTCATTTATGCAGTTCTTGAATTTTATGCAAGTACAATTGTTTCCGTCAAATCAATTTAAACAATTTAAATGTTACTGAAATATGTTAGATGGATTCTGACGTGTGCAACTATTCATATATGATATTTTATAAAACTCTATCGATATTTATTAATAAAATGTTTAAGAAAATATTCACAAGAACATATACAATTTTTAGAAAACTATATATATATATATATATATATATATATAAATAAGTTTTATATTCAGTGAAAATACACGTGTTGATGTGTATTAATATGTTTATTTTTTATAATTATAAAAAATAAGTTTATATTTTTATCATGAGTGAATTTTATTTATTTTTCAAAAATTTGTTATTTTAGTTTAAAAAATAGTTAAATTTAAAAAACAATTAAATTTAAAAATATCAATTAAATAATAAAAGAATTAATTTAATTTAAAATACTATTATATAAAAAAAACAAAATATAGACATAAAAAACATCTTTATATAATAATTAATTAAATTGTGTGGTGTCATTTTATTAAAGGGTATAAAAAATTGAGATACTCTCAACTTGGGATGTTGTGTCCCCAAGACCAGATAGAAATGGTGAATCATGGGCCCTCTCCGTGTTGTTTATCTATTTGCTTTTGGGCTGCACCTTTTACAGTAATAGGTCAATTAATTCAGTGTATTTACTTTTTTATAAAAGTATTTTTTATGAGTAAAATAATAATAATAGTAGAGTTTAACGAATTTACAAAATACCAATCTAATACCTAATTCAATTATAATTACATCTAAAACAAATTTTATAAATTATCAATGTGTTAGATATAGATCAAATTAAATTACATGATGTGAAAAGGGAAGATGTTACTATATTATCACGGTATGCTATACAATGGATAAATGTGCATGCGTTTCAAATAGAAAAATAAAGTATGTTAACGTAAAAAAAAATCATTACATTTTTGAAAGTAAAACTGAATTTTGAATGGTTTTTTTAAAAATCAAATATACACAATATTTTATGTTATTGAAAATTAATTTCATCATTCCAACTTAAATTAAAATATTATAACTTTTTTCCCTATACTTATCTTCCCTTTTAATTTAATTTTTTATTAATTTAAAAATAATGATTGCTCATTATTCTTTTAGTTATGATTAATTGAATATAATTATTATTTTAAAAAAGATGTGCTCAATTTAACCATGCTCAACTCGAATTAAAAATGAATTGACCCTAATTCACAATCATCAATTTGTTATTATCTTTTTACCATTTTCTTATAAGTATTTTTATTAATATTATTTATTTATATATTAATAATTTAAATTTTTAAATATTAAAATGTTGTTCAAAATGTTTAATTAATTTGAATTTTAATTTATTTATATTTTAAATTATTTAAGGTGATATTTTAATTTTTAACTACTATTTAATAATAATTTGATCAATATAATAAACATTTTTATTATACAAGTATAAAAATAAATTAATTGAATCAAATATTAATTGCATTGTAATAAATATATAACATATATTAAAGTAACATAACATCAACTTATCAAATCCACTTATCCATTATGATACAATAAGTTGAATAAATGATCATTTTCAAAATCTTATTTGTTTGTGATGTTTTACAAATGATCCTCTTCTAAGTCATGATCTTAAAGTCACTTAAGAAAATTAAAGGATATTTGAAAGAAAAATATGAAATAAATGAGAATATTAGAGGTATAAAAATAATAAATTTGATGATAGACTTTGAGCTGGAAAGGATTAATTAGTTAAAGATAATTAATGAATATTTAATCAAATTGTTGTGTATAGTTAAGAAGATAAAACTATTAGGAGAGAAGTTCATAAATTCTAAACTCATTGAGAAATTCTGATAATAGCGAGCAAAATATATAAAACATTTATTATTTCATTTGAAAACATAAAAGATTAATCTACTAGGAGTGATATGAGAAAATATCATGTGATTAAAGGTACTTTACTTGATAAAAGTATTTTTAAAATCAGAAACAACAAAAGAAACAAATAAAACAACAACAATAACACATGTTTTTTTCATGTTGTCCCTATTAAAAAAAATAATCACCATGATTACTTTTATGAGAGGTACATGTATAAATACAATTAAAACTAATTCAAGTGTTAAATTAATTTTTGATGTATTATATATTTTAAGAGTACTTAAATTTTGTCAAAATGTTACACAACTCATAAAAGTTATAAGGTAACATTTCAAAATAAGCTTGTACCATTAAAGATGAAAAAGGGTGAAAGTATTCAAAACTCACATAAAAGATAAAAGTTTTGCTTTGGATTTGATGAGAGATAAGTTGATTACAAATGAAGAAGATATAAAACAAGGATTGAAATCCACAATCAACTAATGAGTATTTTTAGGGAAGAATTCTCTTGGATGAGTGACAATTCTAATGAAATATGAGCTCAATCACATAAGATATTTTTATCACTTCCAACTCAAAAACCTTAAAGTAATGAGTATATAGATATTCTGGCTTATATGATGCTTGACTTTTTCATTTCTACCTAATATGAGACTTGGACTCACACTTAGAATGTTACATTAACAAGAAAAAAATATGATTCTAATAAATAAATAAATAAAATGAAAATATAAAATTGAATTAATATAAGATCCCATACAAAAAAGTTAGGAATTACAAACAAAAGAGAAGGAAAAAAAAAGCAAGCATATAAAAAGGATTATCAAATTCCAAATTTTAGATTCACATAAACGATTATCAAGATAAGAATGAATGTTCACAATATTTGCTTAATATTTTTTATTTAAATTATTATTTTAAAAAATATTTCAACTTTTTGAAATATTTTTTATAAAGATATAAAATATAGAGTTAAATAGGTTTTTGGTCTATTAATTTGAAGTGAAAATTAGAATTAGTCATTCTTCAAAACTTTGGACCAACTTAGTCTCTCATTTTTAGAACGACTTAGATTTAGTGATTTTAACAAATTTTGTTTTATTAGACATTTCAAACACCTTTCTTAACTAACATTGAAACGAAAATATGTCAAACAAAAGTTCAAATGCTATTATAGAACATGTTTAAAGTGTCAAATAAATCTAACAAAATTTGATTAAAAAAATAAATTCACGCATTTATAAAGTTAAAAGATTAAATTAGGTCAAAGTTTTAAAAATGAACTAATTTCAATTTTTTTCTTAAAATCAAGGACAAAAACATATTTAATCCTAAAATATATTTATTTATTATTTATACTTAATAAATCAAGATTATAATATTATATTACATTTTATTTTATATAAAGCATATGAATAAAATAAAATAACAATATTTAGAGAACATATTTCTTAATTTATCTTACATATCTAAAACCAAAAAATTCAAACATTAACGAACTGAAAATTCTCAATCAACATGTAAGTGATCAAAACTATCTAACACTGAGACCGTCAACACACTACATGACACCAACAACTACACATAAATTCTCACAGTTGAGAAGTTGAGATCATCATCCATAGAAGATTGAGACATATATCTAAAACTTTCTTGACAACATCTTTCAAATGACAATTTGCAACTAATCAAGTGATGATAATAACTTACTACTAATCACCTCATTTAAGTGTGGAGTTAAGAAGAAAAAATGAATTTTATATTATAGAAAAGTAAATTGATTCTATCAAACAATTATTAACTTAAAAGTATCTTTATGAATATTCCATATGCGAAACCGAAAAATCTTCAAAAGCAAATAAC